GGGGCCGGAGCCTCGCCCGGCGGGGGCTGCAGCCCCGCCTGGCCCCACCTGCGGTGGAGGCAGCGGCGGCGAGGGGGCCCCTCCGCCCTCGGGCCATAAAGGGCCGGGGCAGGGCCGGCGCGGCACTGCGGTACCAGGGCGGCCGGCGGGTGGATGCGGCAGCGGGAGCGGCGGCATCTGGCGGGAGCGGCTCCTCCCTCCGCCTCCTCCTCCCCCTCCTCCGCCGGCGGCTCCCGGCGGCGTCTCTCCGGGCGGCGGGAGCGCCGGTGCGGGGCCCGGCGCGGCCCCGGCATGGCTCTGCCCGGGCCGCTCGGTAAGTGCCCGCCGGGCTGCCCGGGGCGGGGGCGGTGGCGGTGACCTTGGCGGCCGCCCCAGAGGGGACGGACCCGCGCGGGGCTCCTGCGGCGGCGGCGCCCGCGGGCCCGGCCCCACCTGCCCGGGGATGCGGCGCCCGACGCTGCCCGCGGGGGATCGGGGGCGGCGGCGGCTTTCGTGGCGTGTGCTCCTTATGTATGCAAGCCCGTTAAATTCCTGCTCGATAACTGCTTTTTAAGTAATCATTCCATCGTTTTGTTTTTTTTTTCAATGCAGCTTGCTTCAGTGGAAATAGGTTTCTCTTCTTCTGCAAAGGTGCAGAACTAAAGAGCACCCAAAGCAGTGAGACCGAGATATTTAGCAAAAGAGCATTTACTGGATGGCATTCCTACCCTTCCCCATCCCATTAAGATGTGTGGTTGTCGTTCACCTTGGGCAAAGGACAGCACTTCTATAGAAGGATACTTGGATACAAGGGCTTCATCCCTTTTCCAGTTCGGGATGGCACAGCTTGCACGAGTATTGCATGAAGTGCCTTATGACTATTTAGGTTTATTAGACTCATTTCAGTGACGTGACCTAGCACTGATGTGGCTGAACCTACATTTCAAACTGTTTTATGCCTTTTTCTGTTGTGCTTGAGTGGAGAATGGAGTAAGAAGAAAAACTTTGGTCAGTATAGGTTTGTACTTATGTCTATACTGCATTTCTGGTGCTGATCACAATGCTCTAGGAAAAAGTTCCTTTAGACTAGAAAAATGTTCAGCTAATGGTGAACATACAGCCCACTGATTTTTTTTTTTCTGCTAGTACTGAAAATATTTTATTGCTGATTTAGCAGCAGAAGAAACATTATTATTTCACTTTGAACTAGTATTACTAGAACTCTTACTGTAGTTCAGTAGCCACAAAGACAGTTTGTGCCTGGCTGAAGTGGCCCAAAAGGCCCTTCCTGCTGGCAGCAGCATGTGAGGCAGGTACTGTTGGTGACAGCTGTGTTCATTGGGGTCAGTGGAAAGACTGCTATGACTTCATTGAGGGCTGAAATGGAGAAAGTGAATCTAAGTTTGGATGCTTCTGAGGCATTGTAGTGCCTTGTCATCATTCAGCAGAATGTGAATGCATTTTTAAATTTCTTCTGTAGTTATATTGGATTTTATGAAGACTTAATACTGATTAAAAAACAAGTCCTCTGCAGGCAGAAAACCGGCACAAAGTCAGATCCACAGTTCTTTTAAGACCTGCGATGCTTTTCCACTGGGCTGTGAATTGGTTCTTACAAAATAAGAATGAAAAGTAATGTAGGTGATCACTAAATTGCCACGTTATGGTCCAATATAAGTTTTACCAAATTTTTTATACTATGTTGGCTTTTAGAATATAAGCAACACTGTTCTGAAAACAACTGTGAAAACAGGCGGACAGTAATTAGAGTCTTTTAGGCTGAAAAGGGGCTCACGTATCGAAAGGATCACATGTCAGCATGTGAAACCTGTAGCATGCCTACAGAAAAATTGTAATGGGGGGCCTGATAAGTTGTGTCTGGAGAGATAAAAAACTGCCACGCTCTGTGCTGACTTCCAGCATATGTCGTTTATTTAATGAATACCATCTTACTGAATATGTTTCCCTTTTTGTAACCAAAAAGGATTCTGAAATTCCAGTTTTGGACCCAGACTTCGCATTCTGGCAGTGCTTGGATCCATTTGTTGTGACATCTTCATTGCTATTTTTAACTTATGTAATAAGAATTTAATCTTATTTGTTACAAACTCCATCATACTGAAGGCACTCAGAAAGCATTACTGTACATAATAAATAATGCTGGTTAGTAGCTTACCAGCACTGTATTTTTTCCCTCTGGAATGCTACAAGTTATGTTAAAATTCACCTTCTTCGTTGTATGAAAACGAAATAAAAATAAAGCCAGGAACTACAGAAGAAACTCTAAAGATGGTGTTTTAGTAGTGATGCTAGAAAAAAATGGAAGTGTTTTGTGATGAAAGACTACTTAAAAATTTAAAGTATAAAACATTTTCTTTTTGAAAAATAATATTTAAATGCCAAGCAGAAATGCAAGTCCATATCCTATCTGCTTCCCAAATGCATTCAAAAGCAAGATATGAACTGCTAAAAACAAATGGGAAAAAGTCACCAAGTTAACTATAGCATATATGCTTCTGTTCTGCAACTGTTTTTACTTCACAGCAGCTCTGTGACTTACTGATTTGTGGAAGGGGTGGGGTTTGGTAGAAATGTGCAACCCTCTTTTCTAACTTGCCTGTTGGTTTGAAGTTGCTGAGCAAAGAAGAAGTCAGGAATCTGAGTGAATGTGATTTCCCCATTCAGTGCAAGTACATACAGCTGAGTGTGCATTATATCACAAATAATAGCCTGTCTGATTGTGCAAGTAAGTGGAATCTATTGGCACAGCTCTACATACATTTCTTAGGAATTTTTGTGGACGTACTGAGGAGTTCTTGATGCGAAAACTAGTATGGCTCCAAAAGCGGAGTGGACACCCGTGGTTCTTGTGTACTGCATACTAGTCTAAATTATGCATTCTCCTTTGTTCTGCTTCTGCCCTAAGCTCTGAAAAAAAGCCTAGTCTCCCTCATATCTGCATTCCTGTAGCTATAACTTTGTCACCTGTCTCCCTTCCCAGCCGAGATGCCCCGACAGTTTCCAAAGCTGAACATCTCGGAGGTTGACGAGCACGTGCGACTTCTGGCAGAGAAGGTCTTTGCTAAAGTTCTTCGGGAAGAAGACAGCAAAGATGCACTGTCACTCTTCACTGTGCCTGAGGACTGCCCTATTGGGCAGAAGGAGGCCAAGGAAAGGGAACTGCAGAAGGAACTGGCAGAACAGCAGTCCCTGGAAACAGCTAAAAGGTTTGTTCAGTAGTTGCTTTCTTAGTGGAAAATAACTTTTTAAATAAGCTTGAGTTAATATTGAAATGCCTGGTAAATAACATTCTGCCTCTTATTACTTCAGGAGACAGGTGAACAGCAGGTACCTGGGGCAGCTGTGTGATGTCCCTCTGTCCTAGGGAGAAGGTGTGGGGCTGGGCCCTAGGGAGCTTGGATTGGTGAGCTTCTCTCAGCTGTGTTTCCAGCAATAGCACAGATATCGCTTATGCAAGTTTACCAAACAGCACAGCTGGGTAGAAATGAACACAACCCTAAGACTCTTTAATGTAAGAAGAGTCAGAAAAAGAAACACTCCCCTCACCTTATTCTAGTTTCATTAAGAGAAATGGAAAATTTTAACACACAGAAAATGACAGTGGCATGATATTTCTTTTCGTCTCTGTAAAAATAGATGAAAGCCAAGACATTACATTTAAGATCAAGGGAGAAGGTGCAAAGTGGTATTGGCATAATGAGGTTATTCGTAGGTTTCCTTTACTCACAGAGAGAAAATCTAACCACTGTCAGCCATAAAAGTGCCCATTAAAACAGAATAAATTGCATTCTACCTCTGGTTTATCCAGGACTCTGATGAAGCCAAACTTGCTTTAGTTTATGATTTTTCTCCTGTGAGAGAGGCAACCTTCCCCTGATGTCAGGCTGTTCCAGTGTCTTCCCTTCAGAGGACTGCTGGGCTGTTCCTGGAGCCACGTGAGCCCAGCAGCAGCCTGACACCAAATGGGGTGGACGTGTACAGACTCTTCAAAAAGCAGGCAAACAAGAAAGCCTTTGAAAGT